AGAAAGAACACAAATAAGTGAGTTAACATTGCAACTCAACACACTTGAAAAGCAACAGCAAATAAAACCCAAACCCAGCAGACAAGAAGAAATAACAAAAATCAGGGCAGAAAATAATGAAATTGAAACAAAGAAAACAATACAAAGAATCAACAAATCCAAGAGATGCTTCTTTGAAAAGATAAATAAGATTGACAGACCACTAGCCCAGTTAACTAAATGAAAGAAAAAGCACCTCCAAATCAACAAAACCAGAGATGAAAGGGGAAACAACACAACAGACACCAGAAAGATATAGAACATTATAAGGGAATGCTTTAAAAATCTGTATGCTACTAAATTTGAAAACCTAAAAGAAATGGATATCTAAAGGCATGGGAACCACCAAAACTAAACCAAGAAGAGATTAACAGCTTAAACAGACCCATAACACAAAAAGAAATTGAGACAATAATATAAAACCTCCCGACTAAAAAAAGCCCAGGACCAGATGTATTTACAGCAGAATTCTACCAGACATTTAAAGAAGGTCTACATCTAATACTACTTAACTTATTCTTAATTTATTCAAAAAGATAGAAATGGAGGGAGAACTTCCAAATTCCTTCTATGAAGCCAGCATCACTCTAATACCAAAGCCAGGTAAAGACACAATCAAAAAAGAAAACTATAGACCCATATCCTTAATGAACATAGATGCAAAATTTCTCAACAGATACTTGCAAACCGCATACAGACACACATCAAAAAGATCATCCACCATGATCAAGTTGGCATTATCCCAGGGATGCACGGATGGTGCAAAATACATAAGTCAATAATCGTCATAAATCATATAGATGGGCTCAAAGACAAGAACCACATGGTCATCTCAATAGATGCAGAGAAGGCCTTTGACAAAATTCAACATGCATTTATGTTCAAAGTCCTAGAGGGGAACTGGACTGGAGGGAACACGCCTCAACATAATTAAAGCCATATACAACAAAGCCACAGCCAACATCATTCTAAATGGAGAAAAACTGGAAGTATTCCCATTGAAATCAGGAACCAGACAAGGCTGCCCACTATCCCCACTTCTCTTTAACACAGTACTTGAAACTCTTGCAAGAGCAATTAGACAAGAGAAGGAAATTAGAGGAGTAATAATTGGAAAAAAAGAGATCAAATTATCCCTTTTTGCAGATGATATGATATATCTAAGAGATGCCAAAAATTCCACCTGAAAACTCCTAGAAATTATTAACACATTCAGTAAAGTGGCAGGTTACAAAATTAACCTACAAAAGTCTATAGCCTTTCTATACACCAATAACAAGCAATCACAGAAAGAGCACATGGAAACACTCCCATTCACAACAGCTGCAAAAAAAGGAAAAAAAAAT